AACGGTTTCTCGAATGGCTGCATTCTTTTCTCCTCACAACCTGCTCGGCAGAATTTTATGCTTATCTGTCTTGCATCATAAGGTGGAGAACCTCTATCCTCCTGTATTACAGAGCCACCTCCTTGGTCCACAGCTCCAAGTACATGTCACTCTGAAGCGAAGGGAAAGTATAATTTTCTTTCTCCTTTGGGGTATATTCCAAGTGGGCAGAAAGAGGGTTCAAGGAAAGCTAGTGACCCAAAGCCCTGTCCTGGCTCAGGCAGCTTTGTGTCAGGTCACAGATGAAATGCCATCTGAGGAGAGCCGGTATGACTTAAATGACAGGTCGGAGTCTCAGCTCCTAGCTGATGCTCTGCTATGCTAAATCCCTCAATGAAAACACCCAGAGTTCCTCTCTGAGCCCCGGTTGTTAGATATTTATAGATGTTCCACCTGGACTTACACACAGCCAGGAAAGGACCAGAACCATCGGATTGTGACACTGATCTCACAACCTGGATATGGCATACAGACTAAAATGGCCAGGCACACAGCCTCTGCAGTCTGACTGCATCTGTTAGCATCCAGGCTCATCTACCTGCACGTTGTCTGTCTGCCCTTAGGCAAGTGACAGCACTTCTTTTAGCCTCAGTTTTCCCATCTGCAAAATGGCAGTAGTGGCCCCTTCCAGGTACACCTCAGCAGCAACAGACACTCAGCACAGCATCTCAACCAAGTAAGTGCTCAATGAACTTAGACTTTATCATGAGTGCTAATTGTTCTGACTTCTCCCACACCCTAGCAAATAAAAGAGAACCAAATTTATTCTTTCTTAAATTTTTGAACTCAAGCCCTGACTTTGGGGTTTAAGAAAATACAATTTGATTATTTGCAGACTGGAGATCTCTAGGGAAGTGTACAGAATTAGTCCCCCCACTGCTCCCTCTTGTCCATTTCCTTCGAAGAAAAGGGTAGATGGAAGACAGTCCCTCAGGGACCCTCAGCCCCTGTGCTGCACCCACCTCGCCCAGGACCACCTTGATGGACGTGTGACCAGAGGGCCCGGTGCTCAGATGGGCCCATTTGTTTTAACACTCTGCTGTCCCCGTCTTGAAATGCTCGAAGTCTAGACGGAGGGGCCCTGCATTTTCATTTTGCTCCGGGGCTGAAAACTATGTCCCTGCTCCCCATCTTTGGTCCTGGTTGGTGCTGGTACCGCAGGCAGATCTTAGGGTAAGGTGTCCACCCTGCATCTGCTGGGCAGACCTCTAGGAGCTTCCTCCTCTCCGTCAGAAGGAAAGTAAACCTGGTGTGAGCGTGCCTGCAAACACCTTTCTTGGGCCTTTCGTTCAGAGCCCCACCCGGCCTGGTGAAGAACCTCTGAGCCAATACGCAGAGGGGCTGGCTTCCTGGCAGCTCCCCCCCGGCACCAATCCTCGCAAAACAGAACACAAACGGGGCCTTCTCTTGAAGTGCCCCTCATGCTGCTGGTATGGAGGGCCTCACCTCTGCCAATGGGCCCAAACCAGGCTATCTGGCTCTGCTGTGGGCCTTCCATGCATCCCACCGCTGCTGCCCAGGGCACCCTGGGCCCCTGGCTCCAGCCTTTCCCTAGGATGATGTGCGGCCTGTAGACATTTTCTCACAGGTGGCAGAGCTGTGGCTTTCCCTCTCGTCTGCTGGAAGCAGGGATTCAAAAATTGTTTTTTTTTGCAAACGAAATACTGGGAAAGGAGGGTGGGAATGAGATGACTGGGGGACAGTTTTTCAGGACAGGATGGCATTGGGACATTTGCAGGGTCCGCGGAACTGCAGAAGAAGTGTGCGTGTGGGCACACTGGCCAGATCCTTCCTCTCCACTTGGGGGCGTGGTGGGAAGGGTTGGGCAGCAGGGGTACGAAGGCAGTGGGTGGGGCTGTTGGCTGCCAGCGTAGTCACCCCTTGTTATAAACGCACTGTCTCTTCATGGAGGGCTGTGTGTTTCTAGCCCCCAGACCCCTGTGCCCCAAAGCCCAGAGGCCCTGGCTGCTAAGCCCTCCACTGAAGCTGGCCGAGTAAAAACAAGCCAACAAACAGAAGAGGCTGGACCTTGCGTCCCCTTTGTAAACAGGTGGCACTGGGATCCAATGGCCGGTTTGGGGGCAGCTCCTGACACTCAGTGTCACTTCAGGAGGGCCTCCCTTGCCCAATGCAGCATCCTAACCCTGCCACCGGTAAAGACGTCCTCCATGTGCCTCGTGACTGTCAAGACCCATCAGACCAACACGCGCTGATCACTATGACTGGGCTAGTTCCCTGAGGATTCAGTATAACTCCTGTGGTCAATTATGCCCACGGAGCTATGTAATTAGAAGCTAAAACAGACGGTCTATCAGTAATCAAAGGATATATTAATTAATACCTATTAAATCACGGCCTCTCTAGTACACCTCATCTGAGCATCTTTAAAAGCTCTGCAAATGTCCCTTCTTTGATCTTTCAGCATCCCTGAGAAGAGTGAGTGGGACATTTCCTTTGTGGGGAAAATGAGGCCCAGGGAAACTAGGGGACACTGTCTGAGGCCACACAGCAAGTCGGTGACAGAACCAGAAACAGGAGTCAAGGGCACCTGGCCCATTACTCCAACCTCTAACTATGTTCCTTTCCACACGGGCCCACCAATCAGTGGGAAGAGCTCGTACTCACTAATGGCTGGTTAACTTTATGACTGGCATGATTTTTACAAATGAGCAACAGTGAGACTGTAAGTAGGAAGTATAAAACCAAATCTTTTCAGTCCTATATAGTGGTTTTTCTTCCCCTTGATGCTGTAAATGTTAAACATTCTTTCTTTCTCTTCTTAGCACTGGACGCCTTAGTATTCAGTAGCTTTCAACCCAGGACTAACAAATAACAAAAATCATGATGAAGAACAGCCTTAATAATCTGGGGTTTGAAAAGGAAGAAGAAAATAATTTGGGCTTGCACTGAAAACAAAAGTGTCGAGAAACCGTCGGAAGTGGTTTCACTGAGACGGTGTCTGTTACCGTCACTGGGACCATGGCTGGCATTAGATATGATTCACAGTTTCTGACCCAGACTTGTGATTCTCAAGGGGTCACAGGTCCGCTCTTTCCCCTTTTTGGGCCTCGACGTCCTAATGTATAACGTTTATCCAGAGAGCAAACAAGAGTGGCTAATAAATATCACCTTTGAGCCCCGAGTGCGACAGACTACATATAAACACTTAATGGGCAGGACCTGGTTACTGGATCCCATTAGCTGGTCTGTTGGATTCCCACATCCTGTGTATGGCTGAACGTCGAGCAGGAAAGGGCTAATGTCCCCCCCACCCTGTTCTGAGTGGGTGAAGGCACAGCAGGGACAGACGAAGGAGCCTTGACTCCATGAGACTTCCTCCCTGCAAATGTTTACTGAGTGGGGGACAGCATGTGGGTGGTGTGCAAGCTCTTAGAATCATGTGGAAATAAAGACTTGAGAGGAAGCTCACTCTGGTGGCTCTGATTCTTGACTAGGACTTCAGGGAGCCTTGTCTTCCTCCTGTCCCTGAGGCTGAGTCACCAAGCCTCAAAGCTCTTAGGATCATGTGGAAATAAAAGCTGGAGAGGAAGTTCACTCTAGTGGCTCTGATTCTTGACTAGGACTTCAGGGAACCTTGTCTTCCTCCTGTCCCTGAGGCTGAGTCACCAAGCTTCTTAATGACCTCTCTCTGAGCAACTTCCTGCATCTGCAGAGAGGCCATTATACAGATCTCCAGCAGCCATCTGGTCTAGCCTCCTCCTTCTGCAGATAAAGGAAGCCCAGTGGAGAGGTTAAGGGACCGGTCAGAGTTTAAATAAGTAATTGGTGTCGGGACATACTCTTGTAAATTCTGTCCTGGGCTCTTTCTAACACACCAGGAAGACCTGATGATGAGCGAGAACAGAGCTGTTTCAAGCTGATGGTTAAGTAAATGATCACTTCTTCAAAGGCCCTTGGCAGTCCACATGCTGCTGAACGCTTTCCAGACACCAGCAAGGAGTTGTCTTACAAGAATTAGGTTCATGACCAGGAATAGCCTCTGAGCTCAGAATGAAACACACCAACTAAAAAATGTACTTCTTCATTTTACTTCTGCTCTGTTCACTTTCTAGAAGCAGGGCTGTCACTCACTAATCTCTAGGTATATTTATACTTTCAGCAAAAAAAAAAAAAAAATGAGTTGCCACACATCTTGAAGGCTAGGCTACAGGACAAAAGGAGGAGCTGCTGAACCCCAACTAGATAGAATTTAATAAAAATGTTAGTGTGCCGGGCCGGCTGAGTGGCGCGATGGTTAAGAACTCGCTTGGGATGCCAGAGGGCCCCGGTTCGGATCCCACATATGAGGGCAAGTGACACTGCCCTCTACAGCTAAGATGCTGAACAACAGCTCAACCTGGAGCTGGGCTGCCGGGAGTCGCTGGCGACGGCGTAGGCTGCAGTCCCTGTAGCAGTGGGTTGCCATGGGCTACCGTGTGTAGCCAGCAGCCAGCGTGAGCGGCCAGCAGCCGCAGTGAGCGGCCGTCCAGAAGCCGGCGACTGATCTGCCTCGCCAGGGAAGAGCGCAATGATGGTGCCAACTTGGGCCAGTGAAGCAGTGTCCTCCACAACTAGATTGAAGAACAAAACGACAGCAACTTGTCTGTTCCCCTTCCCCTAATTCCCCAGTACTGTTCCCATCCCCCAATTACCCAATAAAAATCTTTAAAAAAAAAAAATGTTGCTAACCTTAAAAAAAAAAAAATGTTAGTGTGCCACGGAAACCCAGCCTGTGCGTTCAGAGAATATCATCAGGTAAGCCCTGATGAGGTTCTGCTATTATGGGAGAACCAATTCTGAGGAACGACAGAAGCAGGTATATGTTTTTAGTGGGTTAACACCATATGTCAGTGATTGTTTGTATCAGTTGCATAGGCATTCAATGTATTTTATTTTATGCTTAAAGAAGAGAGCAGCAAGGCCCTGAGGTTTTCGACATCGAATCCCATCCCCTTTCCAACCATTCCAGTGCTGTCTACTTCGTACAGGTCTATGCTACTAGGGAAAAAAAGGACATGATGTCTAATGCATATTTATATTTGTAAGGAGCTTGCAATCTACAATAGTTGGGAAGATGTGACATACACAAAGTAGACGGTATTCATGATACAGTAATTAACTTCATGGTGCAGTTTACAATCATCTATAGTTAACTGAAGACTACACAAAGAAATGGAAAGATATTTCGTGCTCATGGACTGAAAGAGTTAACATCATTAAAATGGCCTTATGACATAAAGCAATCTACAGATTCAATGCAATCCCTAATGGCATTTTCCACAGAAATAGAACCAAAAATATCCTAAAATTTGTATGGAACCATAAAAAACCCCAAAGAGCCAAAGCAATCCTTAGAAAAAAAAGAACAAAGCCAGAGGTATCACACTCCTCAACTTCAAACTATATATACTACAAAGCTACAGAAATCAAAACAGTATTTTATTGATTGGCAGTAAAACAGATGCAGACCAATGGAGAATAATCGAGAGCCCAGAACTAACCCACTCATATAGGGACAACTAATTTAATTTATGACAAAGGGACCAAGAACATACAACAGAGAAAGGAAAGTCTCTTTAATAAGTAGGGTTGGGAAGACACATGCAAAAGAATGAAACTGGACCACTATCTTACCCCATACACAAAAATTAACTCTAAATGGATTAAAGACTTGAATGCAAGACCTTAAACCATAAAATACACAGAAGAAAACATAGGTGGTGCTAAGCTCTGATTTGACTCCAATGGCAAGGAAACAAAAACAAACAAATGGGACTACATCAAACTAAAAAGCTCTGTACAGCAAAGCAAGCCATCAGAAAAAAAAAACCAAAAAGCAAAAACAAACAAACAAAAAAACCAAAAAGGCAACTTACTGAATGGGAGAAGATATTTTCAAATTATACACCTGATAAGGAATTAACATCCAAAATACATAAAGAACTCATATAACTCAACAATAACAAAATGAACAAACCAATTAAAAAATAGGCAGAGAAACTAAATAGACATTTTCTCAAAGAAGACATAAAGATGGCCAACAGGCACCTGAAAAGATGTTCAACATCACTAATTATTAGGAAAATGCAAATCAAAACCACAACAAAATGTCACCTCGCACCTGTTAGTATGGCTATTATAAAAAAGACAAGAAACAAGTGTTGGTGAGGATATGGAGAAAAGAGAGCCCTCATGCACTGCTGGTGGGGATGTAAATTGGTACAGCCACTATGGAAAATATTATGGAGATTCCTCAAAAAGTTAAAAATAGACGTATTTATCACCCAGCAATTCCATTTCTGGGTATTTATACGAAGAATATAAAAACACTAATTTGAAAATATATATGTACCCTATGTTCACTGCAGCATTATTTACAATAGTCAAGGTATGGAAACAGCCTGAGTGTCCAACGATGGATGAATAGGTAAAAAAGATGTGGTGTATATATACGCACGCATGCGCGTGCACACGCACACACACAACGGACTACTACTCAGCCTTCAGAAAGATGAAATCTTGCCATCTGTGACAACATGGATGGACCTTGAGGGTACTGTGCTGAGTGAAATAAGTCAGGTGGATTAAGACAAATACCGTGTGACATCACATATGTGGAATAAAAAAACAAAACATACAAAAACAAAAACAAACTCAGATGTAGACAACAGATGGGTGGATATCAGACGGGAAGAGGGTGGGGAGGGAGGCTGAAATGGGAAAAGGGGGGCAAATGTATGCTGATGGATGGAAACCAGACCCTTGGTTGTGAGCATGCTGTATACAGATGTCGATTTATAAAGCTGTGCACCTGAAACTTATGTTATAAACCAATGTAACCTCAATTAAGGAAAAAAAGAAAAAAAGTCTTCTCTAGTTTCTGTGTCAGGCTTTTAAAACTGTAAGTTGTTGCGCCCCCTTATTAAGATACGTCTTATGCATCTGTCTCAGATAATCAATACTCATGACCATTGTTTTTTCTCCACTGCTGCAGTTCATCACTTTTAGGGGCAAGAATGCTGGGTTAGAAATCAAGAGGCCTCCGTGACAGTCCTGACTTTGTAAGTCCCTCGGTATCTCAGCCTCCTTTTCGGTAAAAGGAAGGGTGTGTGGTCCATATTCATATATCCCATGCATGGGTATCAAGGTCAGCATTATAAATCCCCAGAATGTCACGCTGCTTCTCTTTGGAATTTAAAAATAAAGTAGCTTGTTTTAAACGTTTCCTACTTATGGGAGACAATATAGAATAGTACTGATTAAAAGCACGGTTTTCAAAGCCACACTGTCTACCACTTAACTGGCTGTGTATCCTTGGCAATATAATTTGTGTCTTAGTTTTCTCATCTTTGAAATACTACTACTAACAAGTTTCATTTTCGTGGGGCTGCCATAGTAATGAATTAATACATATAAAGTGCTTAAAATGACACTCGGTACATTTATTATTTACTATGGAGTTAGCACTCAATAAATACTAGCTATGATTATGTTCTTTCCCCTCTATCATTTGCATGCCAATGTTATTCTTAATGTAAAAAAAAAAGTTCTGAATACTTTGAATATGTATCAGCCCAAAGTACAGGTTTGCGTAATTTTCTTTTTTTTCTTTTTTTTAATTATTATTATTATTATTATTTTTTCTGCGTAATCTTCTTTAAAAGATGGCTAATTAGGGTGAGGTGGGCATTAAAAAAAAATGTTTTCTGTTAATTGGATTTTGTACAATGTAAGTAATAGGCCCAAGCTGGGTTCTCATTGGTTTCATGTGAGCTGGCGTTCAGAAAATTGTCTTTGGGCTCGCTGGTCCCAGTTCTTACCCAGCCAGTTCCTGGGTCCACTGCAATTCTGATCTGTGTCAGTTTTGACCATTTTCCTGCTATGACTTCTAATCTTAAAACCTTCACCCCAAGAAGAAAGTTCTTTATTGTAACATGGCTCAGTATTACATGGAATGGACTATACTGGGAACCAAATGAGGCCCTCCAACACAGACGAACTGTGTTCCCAGATAATTCGCTTACAAAGTGCGTTTCAGCATGTCCTTCCTTACCTGCAATGAAAGAGCTCCTGGCATCGATTATCTCCTGAAAGAGCCACAACCCCAGCAAAGAAAACAATGGCTAATTTTTCTCCTCAGCCAGACCTAATGGGATCAAGATGTCCCCCTGGCCAGCTGCCTCCTCCTCCCTGTCGGACAACACGAGCTCTAAATTGATTTCGTTCATTCAATGACAGATGCCCAGCGCGCCAGGCCTTGACCCTTTCATGGATGGCCTCTTTTTAACCCATAGAAACCCTTTTAGCTTTGGCCTGGCGAGTCATTACTAGGGGAAAGAGAGAAAAGGGTCCACAAGTACTTAACGGGCCTAGAGAGAAGCAGGCCATTTTTTTCCCTCCCCATTGGACTCAATTTCCTTTTCTTTTTCTCCTGGGAGGGCTCTCTCTCTACACGTATATGATTTTCTGTGTACTTTGGCTTTTCTCACAGAAAGACGTACCATAAAGCTTTGGCAAACATAAAAACTTTAAAGAGAAGCTGAAAGTGTTTTGTCTGTCTTATCCTCAGCCTCCTGATGTAATTTCCTCTCTCCTCGGAGTGGCCCCTGGGGCGTATGAAGGTTCTGTTCGGGCCAGTCATTGCAGCATCTGGGTCTAGCTCTGGGTTTTTCGGCAGCGCGCACTGTGGCCCAAGTGCGTGCGGCTTCCCTTCCCTGTGCTCCAGGCTGTCCTTTAAAAACAGGTAGAGGCTAATTACACCTGCTGACTTATGCCAATGGGAGGCTTCAAAGAAGGAATTATTAGTCCGAGGAGCATCTGACATCTGAATTATGATGGGCCATTTCACCAGCAATGGCAAAAGCCTATCTCTTTTTGGATTGGTGTAGGTTTTGTTTTGTTTTGTTTTTAGGTTTTTTTTGTTTGGACTACTTTGGAGGGCAGACTTTGAGGGAAATTTCTATTTTTTTGGGGGGGAGTGGGGGGTTGGCCATTGTCAGTCCTCTTATGCCTGGTAGCTCTGTCCAGAGGTGTGGCATCGCACCTGGCTCCATGGAAGATGGAGACAGGATGGAGTGCAGGTTGGCCACCAGCTCTGTGTGGAAACAAAGGTATGTACTCATTACTAAAACCTGTGTAATCAAGCTTTAAAAAAAAAAAAGGTTGAACTGACAATACCCTCTTATCTGTGTGAAACAAAGTTAAAAGAAGTTAATAAGCCATCAAGGCTCTTTGGGAATGATTATTTAAGAGCGGCTTGTGTGCACTTTAAAACACCCAGTGCTTCAAGAGTTGGCCCATCCTGCCGGGTACGGTCTCGAGACGTGGTTTGTGTGGTTTCTGTGGGTACTCGGAGGAGGCAGAGCATCTGCTGCTGAGATCTCAGGTGTGAGCACCAGCCTCTCCTGGTTGGAAAGTGTCCCAGGGAGCGTGGAGGCCGGGCAGGCACGGGGCCAGGGATTGGCAGCTTGCTTTTCAAGTCAGGCTGCCACTGAGAACACTTGTGGTCCTGCTGGCTGCTTTGCAACGGTGGCTGCAGCCAGCAGAGAGGGGAGCCCGGGGTCTGCCCCACTTCAGGCCTGGCTTTCTGCTGGCAGGTCCAACCCCTCAGCTGGCTACAGGCACGGAGGAGGGGCCATCTCTGCAGCTGGGGTCCGGGGTGACTTAGGTGACTTCTCTCTCCAGATGCTCTTGCTGGAGCAATTTTGTACCTTCTCCATAATTTTTCCCTCCCAGAAAGAAGAGAGCTGAGGGCATGTTTTCCAGAGGTGAGGACTTCACTCTAGGATCTCTGTCTTTCCAAGGAGGGCTGCTCCTATGTAAAGCTCTGCTTCTGACCTTATTTGCCTAGAGGAATTGTGAAGCAGGTAGGTCAACTTGGAGAACTGGGAATTTGGGGTGGGGGTGGGGGGCAAGAGCAAAGGAGGAAATGGATCTTTCTACTCAGCAGCCTGTCCTAAACCACCTTTTTTCCACCAGGGCTGTCCCTAACCCACCAGACTTCCAGGCCCTAATCCAGGCTACTTCTCCCAGGTCGTCATGTATGCCCCTCTGCCAAAGCACTTGTCATCCTGGGCTGCAACTGTCCTTGTTACTCAAATGTCTGCTCTACCAGACTAGGCACCTGGAAGATATTTTCCTGGCATTTGGCACAATGCCTGGGGCATATCAGGCACTCGATAATTATTTGTTGAGTTGAGTGAATGAATGAAGAGCTTTATGAGGTAGGTATTATGGTAACCAAAGTTCAGACGGGTTAAATCACTTTCTCAAAGTCATATAGGTGATAAATGGTAGAAGCTGGTGTTTGAACCCTTATCTGTTTGCTCACAATTCAGGCACCTTCCACGATATTAGGAACCATCAGTGGTTGAACCTAGACATCTTGTTAAAAATACATTTCTAAACTACAAGGGCTGTGGCAAGAGGCAAGTGACCGTAAAGGCCAGCTCAAGAGCTCCAACCCTTCCCTCTTCTGGTCACTCTAACTGAACTACACTGGATTCCAAAGTAAATGGGGGAAGTCTACGGTCTTAGGAGCTCATAGGCTCAAGCTGGAACCCTAGTTCTGACCTGGAGTGACTCCATGCCATTCAGGCTACCTGGAACGGCCTCAGCTTGCTAACAGGAGTGACCTGGCACAGGTTGGACCCTCCCTGAGTCCCTTGCCCCACCTGTGGGCCCTGGGAAGTGAGAGCTGGTTCACACTGACACCTTTCTGGCTGTGCTAGGCTTTGGTGTCACACAGGGTCACACTTTCAAGAAGGTCAGTTCAGCCTGGATTTCCCCTTTGAATCATGCTCATTAAAAAAAAAAAAAAAATCTCACAGAGATACCAAGCTAAGTATCGCACGGCTCAGCAGAAACAAGCTGAGATCTCCCAAGACAAAGTGAAAGAGGTTACCGGTTTCAACAAGGCAGCGTTTCCCAGCCCAACATTTCCTGCTTCTAAGAAAGAAAAGGCGGCCAGATTAACCAGAATTGTTCAATGGCCCGCAGTCCTCCACCAACTTGCTCTTGGTATCTAGTTACTGCTAGTTCTTTCAGATGTCTCATTCTCGGATCTTTATATCTATGAGGCCACTACGCACACACAGAGGAGATGTCCCCAAAGTTAGTGGTGGGTTACAACACGTTATTAGATATTCTGTCCTGACTGTTTTTATTCATTTAACAACTATTTATTGAGTATCTACCATGTGTCAGGCACCATGCTAGGCAGACCAAAAATCTCTGTATGTTTTTGTGAGACGAGAGATAGGCAAATAAGAAAACTATACAATAAGGAAGTCAGAGGATAATAGGTTCCAAGGACAAACATAAAGAAGGACAGGACAGGGGTTGCCACTGTTAATAAGAGGGCAGGGAAGGTTGCAATGAAGTGACAGCTGAGTCGATATCAGAAGGAAACTGGGAGCAAAGCCATGCAGCTGTGTGAGGGAGTAAGTGTGAAGACCCAAGGCTCCATGTGTGTGTGTGTGTGTGTGTGTGTGTGTGCACATGCGTTATGTTACTGCAGAAAATGCTGAAAAGTAAACATTAAAGGACAGTGGAATATTAGTCAGCCATAAAGAGGGCTGAAGTTCTGACAACATGGAGGAACCCTGAAAACACTATTCTAAGTCAGAGGTTGGCAAACTTTTGAGACAGAAGAGCCGCCAGGGGTCAGCAAACTGCGGCTCCCGAGCCACATGCAGCTCTTCGGGTATGTCCATGTGGCTCTGAAGTAAAATTGAAAATGAAAATAAAACTATCGGGCTGGCCGAGTGGCACGTTGGTTAAGAGCTGGCTTGGGACACCAGAGGGCCCCGGTTCAGATCCCACATATGAGGGCCAGTGACACTGCCCTCTACAGCTAAGATGCTGAACAACAGCTCAACCTGGAGCTGGGCTGCGTGAGTCGCTGGCGACAGCGTAGGCTGCAGCCCCTGTGGCAGTGGGTTGCCATGGGCTACCATGTGTAGCCAGCAGCCAGCGTGAGCGGCCTGCAGCTGCCGTGAGCAGCCGTCCAGAAGCCGGCAACTGATCTGCCTCGCCTGTGAAGAGCACAATGATGGTGCCAACTTGGGCCAGTGAAGCAACGGCCTCCACAACTAGACTGAAGAACAAAAGGACAGTAACTTGTCTGTTCCCCTTCCCCCAATTCCCCAGGGCTGTTCCCATCCCCCAATTCCCCAATAAAAATCTTAAAAAAAACAAAAAGAAAATAAAACTATCATAGTTTCATTTATAAAATTTTTAGAGGATATTATTCACATAATGGTGATCATGTAAAAATATATTTATGGCTCTCGAATAATTTTTAAATTGTTGTGAGGGACAGGATTGGCTCTTCCAGGGGTCGGCAAACTTTCGAGACGGAACATACCCAATGAGCCGCATGTGGCTTGTGAGCCACAGTTTGCCAACCCCTGTTCTAAAGTGAAACAACCCAGAAATAAAAGGCCACAGATTATATGATTCCATGGATACGAAATGTCCAGAATAGACAAGGCCAAAGAATCAGAAAAGGGGGTTTGTGGGCTTGGGGAGGAATGCAGAGTGACTACGAGCTCCACGTTGCCTTTTGGCTGTTTTGACTGGTAAATCCTAGTCTGGATTAATCATGAATCATAAGACGCTTATTGGTAAAAACTCAATAAAATGAATTACTTAAAAGAAGCTGGCAGACCAGGACAAACAACCCCTAATCCCCAGGGAAGTCCTTTCTTCATAAGAAGCCCCCCACGCCCACCAAGACCACCCCCTCTCTCAAACTGTTGGACAGCTCTCCTCCTAGGCCCTCCTCCAGGAACTCTGTGGTGGTCTCTACAGATGACAGCTGACCTGCCCCAGCCTGACAGCTTTGGGCTGTCACAGCTGAGGCACCTCAGGGGGGTGTCCTTCTCTTTGCTGTGTGACCCTGCAGTCTTTCACTGAGTCGGCCAGCAAGAACTCTGGCCATTGACCCATTTTGCATGGCTTTTCAAACCCCACAGCTAGAAGCATCAACTCGATGACTGATGACCTCCAGGTGTGCGCACGCATGCATGCAAAGGACATTCACACAGCTGTGACTCCTAATGCTCATTGCAGGTAGGGCTGGGGTTTGTATTCCAGGCAAACATGAGGCCTGGAGAGAATGGCTTCCAGACCCCTCTGGCTCTCTGCCCTCCTAAAAGGCTGGAGCAGGAACACTCATCATAAATAGGCTGCGTCTGATCTGGGGGGGGGGGTTGGGGGGAGCCCATGGGCCACAATTGATGCCAGTGCTTTCTCGAATGGTCATCAGGATTGCTGAGGAGACTTGCAACTCCCCCCTGCCCCCTGCTAGGTATCGCCAGAGATACCTGATGGCGATGCTAGAAAAACCGAGGTGGTTGGATGGTCTGCGATTGCACTGGAGGGCTCTCTGGGGTGTCCCCAGTTGTTGGCTCAGCACAGTTTTGCATGAATCGTGCTGTCTGTGGGGACAGGCATCACTGTGAAACCAGAGCCACAGGATATGAAAATGGATGCCCTGCCTGGGACTTTAAGATGATCCCTCTCCTTCAAGTGAGTTGTAAGCAGACCATCCAGTAGGACAGGAGAAAAAAAGAAAGGCCGAGAGTTAGCTGGACAGGTCACCATGCTGGTATGACAGGCCTCCATGGGCCTTGGTTTGCCTGTGACAGCTACAGTTGGTCTGAGGTGGTGTAATTATCAACCAGCGCCCTCGTTCACTCTCAAAAGCATCCTGGTTCCGATATTCATACCCTATGGTCACAAAAAAGACAAATACTACATAATGCCACTTATATGAGCTCCCTAGAGGAGTCAAATTCATAGGGACAGAAAGTAGAATGGTGGTTGCTAGGAGCTGGGGGAAGGGAGGAGTTGTTTAGTGGGGACGGAGTTTAAGCTTCGCAACCTGCAAAAGTTCCGGAGGTTGTTTGCACAACCATGTGAATGTGCTTCATGCTACTGAACTGGACACTTAAAAAAATAGTTTGGATGGTTAAGTTTTATGTTACGTGTATTTTATCACAATTAAAAATTTGAAAAACCAATAAAATCTTACAGTTTTGGTGACTCTAAAAACCCCTTATCCTCAATTGTGGCACAAAACATTTAGGAAGGGAGGATTTCAGAGGGAGAGACACCCCTCCCCAGAGGGGGACAGTGGAGGACGCTTTCTGCGAAGCTAGTGAGAGGGCTCGTTAGGATCATATGGAAGTTTGACGGGCATCTCCTGAAGTTACGGGAAGCCTAAGACTGCTGCTGGACTCCCAGCTCAAGGAATCTACATGAGGAGGAGGAGGCTGGCTAGCAGGCTACTGTCTGACGGGCTGAGGGTTGACAGCTGGGAGAAGAGACGGTTTAACTTTAAATCAAGCTTGGAGCTTTGGTTGTTATTGGGACTGGGCACTCCCAATTTCTCAATAAAATTTATTTTGCTACTTACAGTGGCTGTGCGACTTTCTATTACCTGGGCGTGAGCCGAAAATTCGCGGGACTGCCTGCATTTTTATCTAAGGAAGGACCCATTTAAAAGAACAGTGTGAGATTAAAGCATTTTGCCTGTTGAGTTCCCAGGTGGTCAATGTTCTATTCAGCCTAGTAAAGTTTTTGGTTTTTTAAGCCAGAAAAAACCAACTGTGTTTGTAAGTTACTTGGTTCATGGTTCCTTTGGAGTGGGTGGGGGCTATTGGATGCTCTTCTGCAGAGGTCTGGGATCCAACGAGAGCATTTGGTTTTGATTTGCGTCGTCAAATTACATCCAAGGTCAGAGGGGGCTCCCTGAGTGGTGGGAATCTGCTTCTGCAAGTGATTTGGAAGCTAGTCGGTCTCGGAGGGGGTCACTGGCCAGTCTGGCTGGGTGTTTATTTGCATGTTACAAATACCGAGTGTTGTGTTGGACCCCGACAGTCCTCACAATCAATGTGGCTGTTTACATGGCCTTTTCAGTGCTGTCACATGTGCCTGCTCATGTAGGGAGGACAAGTCTGAAGCCAGACACTGCTGTGCGAAGTGGATGAGCCTTGGGAGGCCCCACACCCCACAAAAGGGACAGATGTGTCCGTCTGGGGAGGGCAGAGAAATGACTTTTGGTCATCTTATCAGATCTGTTTCAGGCTTTGGCTACACTAAACAACAGTCAAAGATAGACCTTCTTAGAGATGAGCATTTTTCTCCCTCTACCACTTTCTTCTGGGACCATGCTGCTTTCCTTCTTCCTTGTATTCATAACTCCATTCTGGCTGTACAATGAGTTTGCCTGTCTGACTGGTTTCTAGTGTCAGGTTCCTGCTCATCTGTATGAACTAAACTGCCTTGTTGATGAGGAAAGTGACTCGTCTTCAAGAAGCGGAGCTAGAATTGGGATGTCTTGACTACCAGGCCAGATATCTTGCCACAACAAATAACAGGGTGCCTGAGCTAGGGGCAGGAACATAGCATCCGAAGAGTCACGCCAGACCTGGAGATGAACCGTGCAACCAGTACCCCAGGGCCCAGGTGGGTGGGACCTTCAGAGCACAGCATACTGCTAAGAGGTACACCTCCATATTTGTCACCCCAGGAGAGGTGTGGACCTGCTGCTTCTCAAATGGATGATGACATCCCTCTCCCTCCATACCTCTGTGGAGAAATTACTCTCACATCATCGCTTCTCTCAAAGGGTTATCCGCCTGGATGGGACAATGCTTTCATTTTCTGCTCATAGCGTCACCTTCTTCAAAGTGACAGTCTGATACCAGCATGGGTGCTATAGGGACAAGTTCAACAAGAACACAAGCACACAAGTTGGTGTCCTTGAGGCCTTGGCTGACTCAGCATCAGGCTCTGAAGCAGCCTTCACAGGGACCTGTGGGAGCTGCGAACATAGGTTTCCAGATCCGATGACCACGGAAGAACTACCATTCTCTTCACAAAGAGACATTGTTTGCTCTTTATGGCAATCTCACCTCCATGTTCAGTATGAAAGACTGTAACGATATTTGCTATGTCAAGGGCAAAATCACTTTCATCGTGGGGAACAGGAAACTCTTTGAGATATAAACGTATTCAAGATGGAGAAAATTAGACTATTTATAGTGTCTGAGAGTCTCCATTTCACAGACATAAAAAGAGGCACAGAGAGGTTGAATGAATTGTTTATCTCACCGTTCTGAATCTACTGGAAGTGAGTTAGGAGCATCAAAATTCCTCTTTGGTTGAGATTCTGAGATTTACTTTGGGTCTTTGAATGGCCATGGAGGCCACTGGCTTACAAAACGTCTTTTGGTTTTGAAGGTGTAACTGCTCTAGGAAGGGATTTGATTTTAGCTCAGACTAAAACATCTTCCAACAATAAAACAACAAAGTAAAAATCGCATAGAAAGTTCCTTGTTACCTGTCTGTAGAGCAGTGGTCCTCACACTTTGCAGCCTGGGTCTGAATCACCATGAGGAATAGTGCTAGTCCCATCCATCCTCCGAGTTTCTGAGTCTGTAAGTCTTGGATGGGGACTTGGAGTTTTTATTTCTAACATGTTCCCAGGTGATGTAGATGCTGCTGGTCCAAGGGCCACATTTTGAGAACCACAGCGGTGAAAGTTTCTGTGCTGTACTGACCAGCCCCTCCCTTCAGGATTGAAGGATTTATTCTTTCTCCAGGAATTGCCACCTTGCCCAAGGTCACGACCCCTTCCCTGTGGTCCCCTGCATCTAATGACTGGTGGATGATTGGGATAAGGCTCAGCCCCCAGCCTCACAGTGACGGCTGAGGGTCATTCCAGTTTCAGAGCTGAATCCAAGACTTCATTACAGCCCAGCCTCTCTCTCTCTCTCGCTCTGGCCCTGCCTCCTTCATTTTCCTCACTGGCGTTCATCCCAGAGCACGTCCCAATACATTTCCTGCGTGGGAATCCATCTCAGACTCTGCTTCTCAGGGAGCCCGGTGTGTTACTGGGCCTGAGAAGTAGAGTCACTTAAATGTCACCTCCTCGGAGAGGCCACTCCTGATCATTCACCACCCCTCCCACACTTCCTTACTGATTTGTTGTCTTCGTAGAATATAACACTCTAATGACACTATATATTATACATTTACTTGACGTTATCATTTGTCCATCTTCCTCACTAGACTGTAAGCTCTGGGAGGGCAAAGACCTGTCTCTTTTGTTCACAGTCACATCTGCAGGGCCTCGTGCTGGGCCTGGCACCCGATAATTCTCACATGGGAGTTGAATTGGAGAGGATTTCATATGCAACACCCTCTACTGAAGTTCTAAAGCTCTAGCGCATGGCTAACAAGGGGTTGCGATTCTTGTACGGGAGGAGAGGTTGGGGTTCGTAGTCCAGAGATAGAGGATTCAGCCACGCCTAATACTGGTGCTTTGAGAAGGGCAGGTCTAGTATTGATGCTTTGAGAAGGGCAGGTCTAGTATTGATGCTTTGAGGGAGGCTTCTCAATTTTCTTAGAATACAATTGCTTCCCTCCGCGCCACCCCCCCACACACACACACACACTTTCTTTCTTGGAGCGTTAAGATGGCAGACTCTCTATGCTGCTCACCTCCAACCCATTATCCCTCCGGTGGGCCTTCTCCTCAGCTGTGAGGCAGCCCATCCCCTCCGATGACCCAGGGCTGGGGCCTGTCACCCACAGGCACTGAACCATTCCAGGTCCACTCAGCACTGCAGTGAGATCTGAAGGACTGATAGGGAGCAACTGGAGGAGGCCCTTTGATCCAACCCTGTGAAAGCACAAAGGCTGCAAAATGCTAAGAATGCTAAATGTATTAAGTGGAGTTTTTCCTTCCCAGGGGTGCACAGGGTGTGCTTTCCAAGGGGAATACAGATAATGGAATGAGGGAGGCACACACCCAGGGCCAGCTAAGGCAGGGCTCAGCAGCCCCAAAATACGGCAAGTGCATCCAAACAGAAGCTGAAACCCAAGTCAGCAGTGCACTTACTGGAGTGCTTAGCACACTGAATAATTTAGCAGACGGACTCCACTGGGAGTCAGTTCACAGTTAATGGAATATTTCCTGTAAATATTATTTTCTCTTCCTGTCTCATCATCTCAGACAGTTCAAAAATCTTTACTAATCTGGGGAGGTGACAGTAATGCATCAATTCCCTGAGCTAATGCCCCCGCTTCCGAAATACTCCTAGGAACCGGAGGAAGCCACACTGACTGCTCCGGGACGGGGGCACATCATTTACTCTGGTTCCTTCTCCTAATGTCTCAAAGGGGACCCCACAGTGCTCCTAATTGTGCATCTAAGTGTACATAAAAGCGCCCCTAATTGCACATCAAATAAATAAGTAAATGCTGTCTGCTGGATATGGAACAAGGACCGGCACTGCCATCCTTCCCCAATGGAGAAATTTCATTAAATATGGGCTGGCGAGTGGCTGCAGCCATAAATGACGATTTGCAGATATTGAATATTTCTTCTAGGGAGGTTTTTTTTTTTTTTTCCCCTTGGAGTTGGTGTTTCACTCTATTTGTTCTCTAATGCTCATAACCTCAGACACAGCCTGCAGGAGGGGTCTTTATTCTAACTCTCTTGGCGCCCCGTTTAGAAAGCATTTCTGTCGTAATTTATAACGGCCTCTGATGATGAGGTGGCAGGTCTGTTTGAAGAGTGCCAACTACAGGATACGACTGAGAAGGCAGCTCAGCTTGGCACTGGTGGGGAGTTGAGTCTTGAGTGTGGAGAGACTAACGTGCCAATGCTTTTGATCCTGGTGCTGCGAAGATGGGGCGGATTGTCCCAGAGAGCAGAGCTTTCGGACTTTCTCCGGTTTTGACCTAAGAAATCCAGTCCTCCTCTAAAAAAAGGAGCCCTATGTGACAGATTTTGTCCAGCCTTATTTACCTCTGTCCCATGTGATCCCAGTTCTGTAAGAGCTAATAAACAACGCCTCTTCAATATATAATCACTGAATTTTCCTTCAAATGTTCTCAGGGAAGAGGGGAAGGAGTCCTGCTTGTACCAACACAACTGCCTGAAAGCGATGGGACAGACGATCGGAGCCATGTCACCATTGGTGGTCACTTTATGCCGCTGGTATTTTTTTCTTTTTTGGTGGTTTGGGTCTCTTTGATTGGCTGTAAATGCAAACTAAGATGAAACTTGAGATTGACTTCAAGTGCCCAAATGCCAGTCTGACAATGCTTCGTTATTCCCTGAAACCAACAGGACGGTAACTTGTAAAACAAAGGACCTGTTTTGTTCCAGATTGTCTAGTTGCAGCACTCCGATTCTGCACGTGCAGACACATGCTAAAGTGGGATTTGACAGCAAGGAGAAAGTAGGGTAAAATAATCTATGCAGCTGCAAGATTTTATTTTATTTTTTGAGCACTGTGCCCCTCCTTCCAACTTCTGTCAGCATTGCTAAGCCAAGGCAGCTAGACGCGTAGATACTGCCATTCCTCTACTCCTATGCCACACCCAAAGCTGTGCACAGAAACATCAAACCATAACTGTGGGAAAGGAGGGAAGCACGCTGAGATCAGCAATAGGGATGTTTCAAAGTGTGATATAGTGTTTTAGCATGAACACGAGTGCAGAAGCGGGTTGGCAGGCCCGAATGAAAAGGACACATCACTGGGTGATGGAGAGAAATGGAAGGATTTACTGCGAGTGGACGGGGGAATATTTAGAAGCTTCTAAGGGATTCTGCAACCTATCCTCAAGATACTGTTTTGGGTTCTGCCTGCTCTTTTTAAAAGAACTCACACACGCAAGCAAGGGCCAGTCCTCTGGGGCATGTGAATGGATTGTAGATTTCACCTTGAGCATCCGAAAGTACACAAGAGCCAAAATGCTGGCTTTGGGTGGCCCCATGTGTCTGGATGTTCCAGACGTGTGCCCGAGGGCAAAGAGGCTATTTCCCGTCCCCGACTTATCAGCAGCTTGCATTTTGGGCTATGCTTTTGCAAGGCTAGGAGCCCAAGGTGAGGACCAAAATGTTCCCTCCATTCTGCCTGTGAGGCACCCTACTCTTCACTCCATCTCCCCCAAAGTCACCAGGGCTTCAGAGTGAGGATTATGCAATTTTGGGTAGACTCTGCAGCAAGAACGGCAAACTGCGCCCCAACTAGACAATCTGGAACAAGCCACTGTCCTGCCCATTTCTGCACAGTAATCAGCCACCCACTTTTCTGTGTTGTTTTTGGTGGCCCGTATGTAAACACTTGCGTGAATTCCCACAGAAGACTGCTGAGCTCCCTGGCATGCTCATAGTTTGCTGACACGATCAGAGCTGTGCATAGCAGGGGTACCCGAGGATGCCTGGCGGCCCTCCAGGAGAAAGGGAGCAGGCCCACCCCTGCCATTGCCTCTACTTGAATGCTGGCTCTTAGTATCCTGGCGCCACCTGACATAGCTGCAGTAACTGGGTCAGAGTGTGAGGAAGGACCTCTGCCTGGGCTGGAGGTGCAGCTGTTGCTGCAGGTGGGCCTCCAGGTGTCCAGAACTCGGCTCTACTCCAGGTTTCCTGAGCATTGCTGGGGGCTCAGTACCAAGAGCTCTGCTTGGCCCGAGTAAGACGGTGTGGCGCCACCTGCAGGGCCGTCGCTCACTGGGGGCAAGCCCAGCCTTGAGCCCCATGCGTCAGGACACCCCAGGTCTCTGGGTGCAGAGGCACTGCCGGACACACCTGCGGAGCCTGGCTGACCCTCCCTGAGTCTGAGTGCGGAAAGGAAGCACAGATGGCTGGCTGGTAGTCAACTCCAGCTGCATGTCCAAATTGATTGGGAGGCTTTCCCAATGTTCAGCAGCCAGGTCAGAGGTGGGGTGAGCGCGACTGGGGAGACTGAGGCATCTGTACATGCAAATAGTTTCATGTGAGCTTCCGATTTTCAGCTGAGAGGAAGCATCACTGGCCTGGATCATTGACAACAGACTTTGGGCACGCATCTCTTCAGAGTCACAGCTCTGGAGCCAAGGAGTGCAGTCTTTGCATTCAGAGGCTCACAGGTGCCTTCCACAAAACAAAGACGGCCTTTTTGTGACAGTGATGAGGGTGGGTCTGAGAAGAAGGAACAGGCACCCTGCCTAGTTCTTCTTGCTTCTGTGACTTCTTACCTGGGGCTCTGTTTAGATTCTGGTTTTGTCTTTAGGCTCCATCCAAGGTCTTAGCAGATGTGGGTACCCCTTGGGCTCATGCAACTTCTCTTCCCCTGACCGGCCTTTCAAAGGCCTGTTCTTAATTTCATACTCAGATTGCACATCCATTTCTTAAAGAGAGCTCCCCAAATTATATGAGGTCGAGGGCCCACACAACCTGGGCCTGCCTCTGTGTCTCACAGGAATGTCATGGGAAGGACCTCAAATCTACTCACAGGCACTGGTAATTTTCCCGGTGTGCCGAATGCCTCGCCGTTTCCTCTATCTGTTCAGTCTCTGGTTCAGTTATGCTTTGGAAACTCTCGATACTCTTACATACCCAACGGCGTACTTGTCACAGCCACCTGGATGTCCCATTAAGCCTCAAACTCTCTATGTCCTAACCTGAACTTATCTCTCGTCCTCTTATGTCCTGTGCTTTGTCTGATCAAGAGGGCTGGGATTCTTTCGAGGTTCCCCTCTTGCTCTGACTGCCACACAATTGATAGGTCGTATCTACCTTCTAAACATCTTGCTTCCTTTTCCCCTTCTCCTCTATTACCGATAGCCAACCCCAAGCCCCCACCAGTGCTGGCTGGCCTACCCCACTGCAATAAGGTCCTGGTGTGCAAGTCTCATCCTGCATTCCTTCAACCCACCTCCACACAGCTGCCAGACAATCTTCCTATGACAATGAAAATCTGATGTGGACACTCCCCTGCTTCAAAGGCTCCATGGCTCCCACTGCCTCAAAGATGAAATCCTCTTAGCAAAGCCTTCAGGGCTCTAAGAGCTGGCCATTGGAGGCTCCTCAGCCTCCTCTCCCCCCACTTTCCAGCCCCAGCAGTGCTGTGGTTCCCCATCATGCCACGCGGTCTCAGCCTGTATGTCTCCCCACCCCATCCATCCATCTGCAAAATCTCATCCACCCTTTAAGACCCAGCTCCCCACTTTGTTGCCTATGATGATTTGTCTCTCCTGCTTGAGCCCAGTTAATGACTCTGTCCTTTAATTCACCACCGATCCCCACAGAGACCTCTGTTATAGCACTTGGGACCACTCATATAATTATCACACAGCTCTCTCCCCACAGCCTGGGCAGGCCTTGAGGATATGACGTGTGTCTTAAGTATCTCCGTGCCCTGCAGTCTGCTTGGCACATAACAGGTATGCAATACATATTTTAAAATGAATGAATGAATGAATGAATCAATCAATCAATCAACTGTGATCTTGATGGCTTGGTTGACCCTCAATCGGCAGTAGACTTGAGGATCCCGACTACTTCCTCAGAGGCCACAGAAGCATAAGTTACTCTAAGTAATAACTCAGTTTGAGTAGAGCCAATACCCTAAATAAATATACAGACATTTGAACATTTTTAAATGTTAAATGACCTAGATAAGTTCCACAAATGAGACTAATTCTCTTTTTCAATGGCTGATTATTCACACCCCTGGCTTCCTACTTTTTATGTTGAAACCTGTTTTAGAGTCTTAAGGGACTCTAAATTTATTGGGTTACAATTTATTTACAATTTACGGAGCCCCTGGAATGTGTCACGCCCTGTTTTACATATATCAAGTATTATCTCGTTACCGCTTCAATCTTCATTAGCACCTCAATTAGAGAAATAAGGCAAGTTTAAATCTATTAATAAATTAAGCTGAACACGCATGAATACTTGTTAGCTTGTCTTTCAAAGCTCTCCGAGGAAGAGAATTCAACCGCTGAATTTTAATGAACTCGGCTGTGGATCTGAAATGTCCACGTTGGTCTTGGCCTTCCACCAGAGTGGGCCATCAAGAGCTGGATAGATTGTAACCAGGATTTTGTTAAAGGATCTGGAAGTATTCTTGGCTCTTGCAAGCAGAAAAACGGCCAGGCAGGTCGAGAATAGAGGACAGTCGGTGTAAAAAGAAGGAGGGATTGAAGACAGAACTTGAGAAGACAATGCACAGACACAAAGGCCATATGGGAAAGAGGCAGAGAGGAAGAAGTATAGACCCTGTTGGCAAGAAAAACAGAGAGGGTAAAATAAAAATGCGGGGTCCGAGTCATGTCTTGCAGCATCTACATGGAAACTGGGGGGTGGGAAAGAGCCACAAAATAACCTGCCCCAAAGAGCCAGGTTTCTACAATTGTTCCCGCGGATGAATTCCTTTACATCATTTGCTCAGGATCTTTTCTTAGAACTTAACTGGCTTATTGATGAATTTAGTAAAAATCCTCTCCAACACTGGCTTGATGATGAATTTAGTAAAAATCCTCTCCAACACAGGGCCGGTTTTTTTTTTTTCCTATCAATTTAATAAAGAAGCTGGCTAAAGGGCAGATGTTAACCGGATAGATGAGGAGAAGCTCAGATACGTAGTATGAATTTGAATCCTGTTCGTGGATAAAGGAACTTGGGGAACAATCTGGAATGACATAATGGGCCAGAATTGCTTTCTCTCTCCTAAAGCAAGTGTGGTTTTGATAGACTTTTAATATGTATTTCAGGGTTTCAATTGCAAACCATCTTCTCTCCACACGCCTCTGCCAGCAGATCTGAATGACAGCGCTCGCCTCAGAGATATTTTTCCATTATAATTTTTCAATTTGTTCTGGTTTGAAAAATGTGTGTAAACGAAAACAGAGAAAACTCGAGCACTGTGTCCCCTTCGAAATGTTCTGCTCTGTGTTTACAATGACTTTGCAGATCCCTCTCTGCTCTTCCCTTTCTTTTTGGCAAATGACCTTATTTTTTCCAGGTTTCTGATCACTTCTAACACAACAGAAAATATTTACCAGATTTTCAGGAATCCCTCTTACTCTTCGTTTTTCACCTCTTTTGACCTACAATTGCTTCTTTTAGCTCCCCTACACACACACACACACACACACACACACACACACACACACACACACCCGGTCCCTCCAAAACAAAACACCTCTGGGAAAACTCGGATTAGCCTCAGGATTCAAGAGTGGCATTCCCCACTTTCCCAAGGAAAGGCACAGCACCCCAGGAAATTAAGGAACAGGACAGTCCTTCAAAGTCCTCTTGCCCATTTGCTTTGAGAGAGCAGAGCCAGTCTCTTTACCTTAAATAATTATAACAGCTTAGGTTTCCTTAGTGACAGGGAGGAGAAACATATACCCAAGGGAGCTCAGACTGGCTTTCTGCACAATGATTTGTACACACTCAAATTAGCAAGGGCTTGGTGAGCCCAGAGGCCCTCAGGCTGCACGGCATGCCATTTTCACCCCTTTTCCGCCTGTTCCTCTCTCAGTCACACCGAGGAGAGCACGCTTACCTTCCTTGGCTTCACTTTATCGTGGTAGTCATACTGGAAGATTCCTTTGTAGCTCAGCCCCAGCCACCATGGTATCCCTTGCTTGTCCTAGGACATCAAAAGAAGTACTGGTAAGTATGGGGCTGGAGAAGATAAACATGAACCAGCAATCTGGCTCATCTGAAGACAAAGGACGACGCAAATTCCTTGAAGTGGATGGAGCCCATCTCTCCACTTTTTACCTGAACAGGTGTGCCTCATTATCAAACGACACTCAGTTACGTGAACAGGTGACATGGAAAGTGCCCTGGGCTGGGGACCCAGCAGCACAGCCATGGTCCTTTCCCCTTTTGTGAGTAAGCAGCGAGTGTCTGGTTCTGTGTTCTCCTTCTAAGATGTTTGGCCCCTCACTCACCACAAAGGAAGATCTGAGAGATGGTGAGCATTCTAAAAAAATAAGACTTCTGAGCAGAGAAACTATCATCAACTGTCAGAGCTAGATGGGACCTGAGATTATGGAAGGGGATTCTTTGAAAAAAATTTTTTTGAAGATTTCTTTTTTTAGGGCAGTTTTACGTTCACAGAAAAATTGAAAGGAAGGACAGAGATTTCCCATATACTCCCTACCTAATACACATGCATAGTCTCCCCAATTGCCAACACCCCTCATCAGAGGGATACATGTATTACAATTGATGAACCTGCATTGATACGTCAGAATCACCCAGAGTCCATAGTTTACATCAGGGCTCACTCTTGGTGTTGGGACATTCTGTGGGTTTGGACAAATGTATAACAACATGTATCCACCATTGTAATATCATACAGAACAGTTCCACTGCCCTAAAAATCCTCTGTGCTCTATCTATTCATCCCCCCTCTACCCCCTTCCAGCTCCTGGCAACCTGTTTCGCCTTTTGCAGAATGCTATATAGCTGGAATCACACAGTAGCTTTTGAGATCGGCTTCTTTCACATAGTAACATGCATTTAAGACTCCTCTAATGTTAAAGACAAGGAAATCAGAGGGTCGGTGGTCCTGCTGTACTGAGGACCCTCCCCTGCCCCAGCAGGCCCATGGCAGTGAGGCAGGCAGGTGCTCACCACGCAGTCCTGCTCACCTTAAGGGGATAGCAGGGTGCCAGGCAGGACTGCGTGACTCATGCGGCTGGACCAAGTAGCAAAATGGAAGCCTAGACATTCTGGAGACTGAATTAGAAACACCAAATCCCTCTGTTTATTTCTTCAACAGAGACGTCTTGCCACTAGATTGTAAGTTGTATAATAATTCTACATTCAAGAAGGATGACTGAGCTGTTAATGAAAGCTCCCGAATGGTAGGAGTTGACAGCAGGCATATCAAGCAGCCTTTCCCCGGATTTGTCCTTATTGTCACATCTATGAATAACCTAATACGCCCTATCACAGGTGTCTTGAAAACCCCAAATTGACTTCGTGGTTTTCAAATGCTTGTGGGTAATTTTCAAGGTAAGCACAAAGATAAAGGGCAAAATGAATAAATGAATAAATAAATAAATAAATAAATGGAATTTTTAGAAGTTTCAGGGTATAGGATTTCTTCAAAAAACCTTTTTTAAAGTTACAAAAGCCCATCTCAGGAAAGTGCCTCTGTGCACTGCAACGGTTTTGGAGAATAGAACAAGAGAAGACCCAATGCTGCTGCCAACTTCCGATTGACTAGGTAGGGGTTGACATGACACCATAAAATATGGCATCTGTGAAATCACGAGGCCGCCAAACAGTGAGTCTTGCTATAAAGGTTTAGGCTTGTTGCATGTGTGTGCTCTTTTTCCAAATAAGGAGAGCATTTGCTTACGCCTGGAGATTCCAAGTGTCAAACACACATGCACATTTGGCACTCCGAAAAATCACAAGGTCTGCTTCTGGTCTAACGCACTGCAATGGAACAAATCACTAAAGCTTTATTGGAAGCAGACAGCATACATATTAGGGGCCACCTTTTTGTCAAGCTCCAGGGCTGACAAGAAATGGAACACAGGTGTAAGCAAGTCAAAGGCTGGGTGAAGTCTCATCTCAAAGACTTCCAATCTATCCACCTCAATCCATCACAATCGCCTAACAATCTATTTCAAAGTCTTGCAACAGCTAACAGACTGGTGGGGGTGGCTGGAGAGGCAATTTCTTTTTTTTAAATATAATTTTAAAAAAGATTTCAATTACAGTTGGCGTACAATATTATATTAGTCTCAGGTGTACAACATAGTGATCAGACGTTTATGTAACTTATAAAGCGATCACCCTGATAAGTCTAGTACCCACTGAGGCAAATTTCTTAATCTCTTTTTTAATTACGAGAGATGGAGGTCACACAAAGCACAGAAAATGTGGTCTAGGTATTTCTGAATTCCTGGTTTCCATTCTTGAAAGCAGACCCCATGCTACACATCACCGTAGACTATTTCCACAATTGAGAGAAAGACTCACACTGTTGATGTCTATAAAATGCCTCTTGTAATAATGTCAGGAACTACTGTTGGATCCTTATGTTTCCTTTATGGTAACAAGATGGCAAAACTGAATTGTGTTCCGCAGCTCTCACTAGCAGTGTGATGGAAAATGGCAGCCGGCTCAGTGGATTTCGAGCCTCTTTTCATGAACAATCCAATTTCCTTTTGGGGAGCTGATTGCCCACTGACTTCAATGGCCGCATCTCAGGGCACAGCCTTACATGGGGTGGTCTCCTTAGAGAGTTCATTTTTCTCCTATGGGATAGGAGACAGCCCAAAAGACCAAGTCACACTCTTCATGACAGACTTAGGCTTGAGAAGGGCAGGGATGGTTGTGATGGTTCTATGAGTTCTGCGAATGATGGCGAAGGGGGATTAAGGGCTTCCACTGGTGGCAAGAGCGTTGGTAGGACATCAGGAAGAGTTTAACCACTGCAGGGTAAAAGATCCTGAGCTGAGCTGCTGGGTGGGACTGGAGTTCCCACATATGCCTCAGAACTGGGCTCCACAAATGTGCTCCAACATTTGTTCCCATCATGGAAATGTATACATCCAACGACTCAATTCAATTCTCAGTTAACACTCGGTAGATGCTTACTGAGTATCAACTAGGTGCCAGGCACTACGCTAGGTTCTAGGAATATATAACAGACCACAATCCACAGCTTTTGCCATCAGAAGGCTGTGGTGTACTGAAAGATACAGGGGATTAAATGTACCAAGGACATGTAAAGTGTTGTGCATGCTGCCACAGGTGACACAAAGATGAATGAAACATGGCGAAGGTTCTAGTCTAAAGGAATTAAAAATATAGTTGCGTGGAAACCTGGGGAAAGAAATGAGTAGAAGAGCAAGAGAATCTCAGGTTGGCTGGTGAAACTGTCTTGAGTTCAGATGTGTTTCCTGCCTTTTATGACTGGACTTTGGGCAATGACTTAGTTAAGCTTTTCACGTTGGGATAAATTAAAGAAGGGAAGTTATTTTTTCTCATTACAGAAGAGGATGCATGGAGATATCATTACCTATTATTTTGAAGAAGAGATCCCAGTCTGGGACATTATGGATGGAATGAAAGAGAACTGAGAATGGGGTCCATGTCACATTGGACTTGCCATCACAATATTTAATAGCCATGTACTCCATTTGTCAGCCTACCATCCCAGTTCTCCTCTAAAGTTGGCTACGTGGCATTTGACCACCGAGAAAAACACTGTTGATGCTACTTCAAGTATTCTCCACAGTTTCTTGTATTTAGAGGGAATCTTCCTACTGAGAGGCTCTGTGGTGCTGAATTCTAAGGGTCCTTCTGAGAATGAAAGGCAGTAGGGATCTGTTATACTCACTTCACAAAAAAGAAACTGAATTGTGGAGAGTAACTGAATCAAGTCTCACTACACTAGGGGGAAAAATTTCATTGCCCCAAGTCCCCCTAAGCATGCAATCTTCCTGATCAAGTCCCCCACCCCCCAAAAAAAATCTTCCAGAAAATTAGAAAGAAAAAAAAAAGAGTTTTTGTTTTGTATTGGTTTGGTTTTTGCTTTTTTTGTTTGTTTTTGTTTTTAGGGCAAGTTTGGCAACCTTCGCCAAATGAGTTCACTTACCTTCACTGCATAATAGTGAACTCCGTAGGTGGGGAGAGACTCCACGATGCTCATGTAGCTGGAAAGACAACACACACACACACACACACACACACACACACACACACACACACACGGGTGGTTATTCGGCAGAACTGGTATTCTGTACATATCTGCATGTGTGTGCATGATAAAGCTTTTAGAGTAATTAGTTACTTGGAAATTAAATTGAATCATCACCTCCCTGGAGATCTGGCTTTCCGGCCAGGACTGAACAACCCTGACATACTTGTATGCTACGTGAACATGCACAAACACAACCTCAGGAGACTGGGAAGGGCCACTTACTTGACGATTGCTTGACCTCTGGTCTGGCCATTCAGTTTCTTGTAGTGCTCAATCACTCGGTCCTCACTAAAATTACAAGAAAAGGATTCTGTTATCACAGTCCCTAGGGCAATGGCCGAGCACCCTGCTAGTGGAGATACTTCTTCTGAGCTCCAGCAACCTCATGAGACACTCTGGGTCCTGGAAAAAGGATTTATCCGCAAGTGGCATTTTCGAAATCAGCCTAAGCGAGATGCCTTAAACAACAGAATAACTAAAAAAGTCTGCTTCCCCTCAGAGGACTCACACTGTCTTTATCTTTGACTTGTAATCATTGAAATAAGATTAGAGCTCAGCTTTTGGAGTCAGCTCCTTACAAGAATTGATACCCTGAGAGCAGAGGAAGAAGCGGCAAACAGGCATTTCAGGAGGGAGGGACACAGAACAGGGGACAGGAAGAGGACAGACTGGCTGGACATCAGAGTGGACGCTCTGGCTGAACTCCCTCAGGTCTTCCTTCTTGCCCTCCTCAATTCCTGAATCCTGTCTACACAAGGCTTCATAGGGGGAAGGCAGGCGTTGACCTCAACGGAACACCCATGGCCTACCCACCCTGAATTAGGAGTCTGGGTTGATGGCTCCCAAGGAAGATGGGCGAGTTCTGGAATTGGGGCCTGATTAACACAAACCAGGAGAAGATAACAGGGTCAGAGGCAACGCCTTTATCTTCTGAAATCTTAGTTCTGAAACAATGAGAGATTAGCTCAAGCCTTGGGAGACAATGAGAGGCAAGCCCTTCTCTGACAGGGTGGAGGGTGCGAAGGGCCTCTCCGATAAGCAGGGTGGGAGCTGTGGCTGTTCCCACTGCTGCCTTCAGAAGCACAGAGCCAACCTTGGTCAACAGGGGAAGCACGAGTCCTGCTGAGGAGTCAGATCCAAAAGCCTTGGCCTTGTGACATGGCCACACTGCCTTGGAACCTTATTTCTCACCCTTCTTCACTTTTCCTCACCACAGGCCTGTGGACACCACGATGGAACGCAATCTTGGGGATGGGCCCTCAAGACCTCAGTGGTGGGTATTTATTACTTGTTATTAACTTATCCCAGAATTGATCTAAAACGTTCTTTTGCCCACCTTTTTCATTTTCCACTAGGCCATTTCTGGGCGTACCACGTTCTATATGTTCATGGCCTACTACCTGGGGGTAATTGATTTGTCTTCCGAACACTATCTTTATCTTTAATGAATATCTCTTCATTTTAGTTTTCTGAAATCTGGTGCATGTAAGATCGTCTGACTCTTCACAAGGAAGTGTCTTCATAAATATCCAGAACGGGGATTGGCTAGCTACGAGGGGCCTTTCTCTAGCTGGAGAGTTGTTCCCGTGGTGTCCGGGTACCTTCTGTTCGGAAAGGGGCAGAGGCAGCCGTATTCCTCCTCAGCTCCCATGCACCCTGGAAGTTCTACATCGAGTGTGACAAAGCCCTGTCCTGAGAGAATTCTCCAGAAGTGTCCTCTTTGGGGTATATGCCAGCCTCACCAGAACTTCAGAGCTGCGTCAGGATGTTCCAGGGTTGCTATTCTCGCTTCCTCCCCGCCCACCCACCGAATCAAGGGCTGTGTTGGCACATTTCCTCCCACATGACCTAACATTTTGTAAGGTCGACTCTGAGATCCAGGGTCAGGCAATTCAGTGTACATATGAGCCTATGTCCTTCCCAGCTCTGGGAGAGAGGCTCCCGGGGCTGAGATAGGGAGGTGAAAATCAATATGGTGCTGAAGCTGTGACTACAGCAAGGCTCAGGAAGAACACCAGTCAAAGTCAGAAACACTGTCAGGCAGCTGTTCCCGTTACTGACTAAATGGCCTCAGCGTGCCTGACAGCTGCAGGAATTGCCCCCTCCCCACTCCCCGCACCTTGCCCTGTATGTCCTGCTGTCTGAGACCGTCTGTGAGGCCACAATATCCACCTTCTCTTTCCCTACCCTTTTTGCCCCAATTGAAACACTGTGGGCCCAGCGTGTGTGTGTGTGTGTGTGTGTGTGTGTGTGTGTGTGTGTGTGTGTGTCTCTCGTAACACACGCAGAGCTGACTGAGACCCCATTCTGCCCCTGGGGCCTGCTCCGGCCCCTCCCCTGGGAGTTATAAATGGCTAAAGGGCACTGAACTCTGCAGACAGTTTCCCAACTACCCCGGGTTTGTGGTAGGGGCTCAGTGGGATAACTATCAGGAATATACCAGCCAAAGTCAACGAAATCCCAAAACACTATTTGGAGGACACAGCGTTCCGTGAAGGAAAAAGACAAATGACTACAGCTGACTGTGCCCTAGGCATGGGCGGGGTGGTGCTGCTGTTAGGTTAAATCTTCTCTCTGCAGACAAGGGGCCCAGGAAATGCATGGGTGATATAAAGGGGAACATGTGATAATGATATGGTTTCCTGTCTTGGAAAGGAGCCGTCAGCCTGCAGTGGTCAGTGACTGCGGGTAAAGGAAGCTGTCCCTGCAGACCCGTCTGGGGGTGGGGTGGGTGGTGCAGCCAGGCCCGTGAGAAAATCCAGGCCAGGATCCCGCCTTGTTCTGTGGCCCTCGGCACATAATGCTAACTTGCTGCCTCAGATGCCGCCCCAACAGGGAAATCACATGGAGTGAGAAGCCCAAACTTGTTAAACGCTTGGGGAAAATTAGCAGAAAGGATTACGGCATGATTACTCAGCATTATGATACACCGTTCACCGCTTTCTAATTGCGTTATGTGACTTTTCACTTCCTCTCTCAATCACAGTTGGAATCTGGTTGGTAAGGTTCATTCCATTTTGCAGGCGGGGAATTGAGGCAGCAGAGAAGTAAGCCAAGTTTCCTGGGCGGTCATTACCCCACAGTTCAGGGACTTGGCCAGGATTCTGATACCCACTGCTCTGCTCACTGGGCTAGAATGTCTCCCGTGACGAGTGTGATGGGCTCCTTATGGCTAATTTGGCCCGAAGGTTGTCCACCGCATCTCTGAAAGCCAGCAAGGGCTGGAGCGCTTGAAAAAATGGCGCATATGCATCCTGAGTTCTGAAATGACCAGGCAATTTGAGACCCTGGGCTATGTGATTGAGACGGTGATGTGAGGAGTGGGTGAAGGTCTCCTCCAGCAATAAAGGTCATGGCTAATCCTGTAGGGGACTGGTGATGCAGAGGCAGGGACGGAAAATTGTGAATAAACTCGGACGCCGGCTCTACCTCCGGTCTGTATTTATTTGCATCAGGAACAGCATTTATCCCTTCCTTGCCATCTCTGCTTTTTAAAAATCCAAGTAAGTAGATTGGAATGTTAAAGCCAACCACAACCAGCCAACGATAATAAAATAAGGTGAAAAGCGCTATTTGTTTTGTTTTTAGCAATGCATCATCAGAGTGGCCAGTGCTACTGGCTTGTTGGTATATCTGCTGGGCTATGAATCCGGAGGGCACCTGCTTCAAAAACTGCCCTTCCTACTGTCCAGCCATCCTCTCAGTGCACTAAGAGAGTGACACGGGTGCCTGTGGGTCTCAGGGAGGCCCGGGGAAAGTGCTGGCCTGGTCAGAGGTGGAGGGGTGTGCGGGCAAGGTAGCTACAGAGGTGGATGGAGCGGAAGGTGTTCACACTGACAAAGAGGAAGTGTGAACATGAAGGAGGGAGTTTTTGTATCAGAGATAATCTGTGAGATGGGGCCAACTACGGAGATAATAAGAGAGAGAGGAGAGAGGAAAAGCTCGTAACTCTGAAATGAACATAAGGTATAAAAAATGTTTAGAAGCAAATGAATGAGATAATGGAGGGATGAGTTAGGCTATAAGCAACTGACTCCAGACAACCTACCAATATTATAGCCCCCTGCTCCCCCTCCCCCTGCTGGCAAATAAATATATCCCTTTTGTGTAGGAACTGTTGGTACATAGAGTTATATATATCCTTGTGTCTCTAGCTCCTTCACCATTGGTTTCCTGAGAAGGAACAGCTGGGGGATAGAGCAGATGAGGCCTGAGGGGTCATAAGGAATTGGGGACAGAACTAGCACTCCGCTAACAACGGAACGGGAGTGCCATCTGTTGTTCACATGTACAGACTGCCAGGCTAGAAGTTTGGAAGCTGCCATGTGCAAAGTGCCCCAGTAGGTGAAACAGATTCTGTTCTTTGGGGGTACATTACAATTACATAAAGCCACTATTTATCAAAGAATGGCAACAAAGCAGAGAGATGAGATAGGGAATGCCAGCCCAGCTGTGCCGTCCCGCGGCCTCTTGCGGGGAAATGGTTCTGCACTGGAGTTGACTGCTGCTAAGGCCTTCTGCATCCCCACACATCCTACCCCGACTGAAGGAATCTCTTAAAGCCACCGAGCAACTCAACAACCCGCTTGCTGACTGGAAAAGCATCCCGACGAGATGAAGTATTAGGAATCTGTAAACTTCATAAAGCACACTACAGAAGTGCTCGTTGTCACATGTCATCAATCAGGACTGAATTGCTCTGCGATTTCTCAGGTTATTTGTTTATATATATATATATATATATATATATATATAGAGAGAGAGAGAGAGAGAGAGAGAGAGAGAGAGAGAGAGCAGTTAAAATGTTTTTTAAAAACAGAAGTCATGGCGGGGGGGCGGGGGGTTGTGGCGGGGGAGAGTGCTGCATTGTGCTTTTTCTAAGGACAGTGGTCAGGGCTGGCGAGCCAAGGAGGATTTCAACACACTAGCCAGGAATGCAAGCCCGCTCAAATGTGACCAAAACCACAATCTGGGCACCTTTCAAATGCCCGATTCGTTCAGAATCAGTAATTTCGGGCTTGACAGATGAACTGCAGCATAATGTTACATGGCAGCGAAATCAGGAGATATGAAACAGTGTGGGAAACAAAACGCATCCGTCTCTCTCTTTTGCAAAGAGGGAAAAAAAAAAACCCACCTTGGAGTTTTCCCCCACCTCAAACCCTCACACATCCTGTCATCACATGACAAGGATTCCAAAAGGAAACTCTAGCAGCACATGAAAGGATCTCCAGGGAGGCGAAGCTTCCAAAGTGAAATCTTAGAAGGTTTTCTTTAAAAAAAAAAAAAAAGAAAGAAAGAAAGAAAAGGGGGAAGGGAGAGATCTCACACAGACTGCATCAGTTGAATAAATGCAAAAAACAGTTTCATGGTGACCCAAGCCACTTAATACAATTTGGTGTTACTCTCTGATTGGGGTGCAGGCTGACCCTGCAGTGGCCCTGGGAGGTGAGGTGGCACTGAGTGGGCCGGGGTGCCATGCTCCCTGGAAAGGGCTTGCTCCTGGAGAGGACCCCTGGGCCTGCACACGGGGGTGGGGGGGGGCAGCTTACCAGTAGGCCAAGGAAGGGTGCTCCTTCAGGGCTTGGGTGGGAAGCGCTGGCAGCTTCTTCAAGTCACTCCTCACCACTTCATTGCTGAAATAGAGTGGGCGTGGAAGATCGAAAGAATGCCAAGGAACTCGCTCACCCTCCAAGAAAACCGCCCCACCGTGCCTGGTCTAGGATACCCCACATCTGTTCCCGTTTCATGAAAAGTGGTGGGAGGAAGGGGTGCGTTCCTGTTATTTATTTATTAGGGAAGACAAAGCACACACAACATGCCGAGCGTCCAGACAGAGCTCACGAATGACTGCGGTGCTTTCTCAAACCCTGCCCGCGGAGAGGGGCGCACACCAAGGGGGCCTGAGCAGCATGGATCTGAGAGCAGAAGGGTCACCAGTGTCCCCACGGGGAAGGATCTTAGGAGAAGCTCCTCATGGCCCCGTCGTGGGCTCACAGGTTTCCAAGGATGGGCCACCTGACTGCTTTTGCCTGGAGAGCTGTTCCCCTCACTAGCACACAACACCAATTTGTTTCGCTAGGCTTGACCGCACGCTGAAAACTATTTTCCAAAAGGTGAAAAATAACGTAACTTTTGATTTTGATGATGCCCTGAAACGTTAAAAGAGTGAAGTGGATTATCTGGGTATGAGGAGGAGGTCCTGGCACCAGAAATTCTTCTTCCCGCAGACTCACATGCTCTCAGGTTTGGATGGTACTGTAAGGTCCCCCAGCTGTAACCCGAGTTTGCCGGATGCTTCACAACCACCCCCCACCCCGGACACTGAGCAGACCAGGAGCACAACTGGGTGTTCGCGATCAGCGGCCCCCTCTTTGGGGTGGTCCTGGTGTTTAAAGCGTGTTTCCCTATATTGTCCACCAAAACACCTCAGAGCCTTGCAGGGGTCTCAGCAGCTCACCCCTTGGAGCCGGTCCTGGACCCACAGTTCTAACCTAGGCTGTGTTAGCAGCTTCCGTGCTGCTCATACCACGCAAGGCAAATATTGGCCACCGGGACCTTGGGCAGTAAGGTCTAAAAAGCAATGAGGAAGCAGCTCAATAAGTAAATATGAAGAAAGGATGGAGCTCCGCAGTCACAGATGAGGAGGTCTTGAGGTGTTGGGGTAGCAAGCACCCCAACACCTGCTAGCTGGAGGATGTGCCCTAACGTTAGTCCCTACGTGGCCAGAAATACTGCCCACAGCAATGGAATCTTGCAGCTACCCTTTGCATACCAAGTGCCACCGGGCAAAACGATTCCAATACTTTCAGTTCATGTATGTGGTGACAAAGAAAACACATAGATGGTGGGTGGTGCCATTATAGCTGCTACCAGAAAGGGCGTTTTTGAAGTGGACTAAGAAACAGTGGCAGTGACGTTTGCAAATTCTGGTTTCGAACAACCAACCAGAAGGAAATGTTCAACTTGTTCCTGTTTGAATCAATAAATCCAAGTACTGGAACTGTTATCATCGAAGTGGGAAGGCAAAGATTTATCAACTAATAACCAATAAGCTGGGGGTATTTATGGAGCCTCTGTTATATGGAAGGTATAGTAGAGGATACACAAAAGGATGGGCCATAGTCCAAAAGTGCTCACAATTCAGTGTGGGAGGCGGGAGGTGCGAATTAAAAGATAACTCACTGTATGGACAGTGTTAGATCAAGTTGATTCAAACAACAAATTTAAAAGTTCAGAGGAAAGAAAGGCCCCTGGAGGCTGTGTTGTAAGAGGAAGCTTTGGAGCAGGGCCTGCATGGAGAATGGGAGAGGAATATCATTTTTGTCCTCGGTGGAATACAGCAGAGTATGGAGGCCATGTAACTTGAACCAAAGATCAATTGGAGTGGGTAGGTAAGGGGCAATAAAGCTAAATAAATGCAGATTAGACACAGAATTTTGAGGCCCTTCACTGCCAGGCTGATAAGAGTTCAAATTTATCCAGTAGACAATGGTCAGCCTCTGGAGGTTTTCACACAGGTAAGCTCCTGGCGGTCAGGACAATTCAATTCCCAAGCAGGGTTGGAATTTTTACTGGCATGCTGTCAAGGCATACTTGACGCAAATATTCAGTTCACCAAACACTCGAGAGCCCATGAGGATGAATTTCTGGGTCTTAGCTCCCCTGTGTAACTATAAAGTCGCTGAGAGCAGGGATAGGAGTCAATGACTCATCAGTCCCTAGCGTGGTACCTTAAATATCGAAAGGCACTTTTCTGGGATGAACTTTTAGTGGGTGAAACTGAGAAAGGCAATGAAGCTGACACTGGAGCTCAGGTTTACTCACACTCATCACATCCCGAGTAGATTTGGGGAAGGAAGAAGCTAAAGGAGGAAGAGATCGTCTTACCCACCAAACACTAGATTGTTGGCAAACAAATTTCCCTGATGACAGTCCCAGGGTTGACTTCCTTGCTGGAGCTTGCAGTGGGTTCTCGAGTTTTCCCCCAGGACAAGGTTACACAGGCAAATATAACAAGAAATCACTAAGGCGTGAAGCCCATCCAAATCCATTACATTCTGGAAGGTATCCATGGCTCTTAAAGCTTCCCCCAAGGACAGCTATGTAGAAATGTTCTATTTGCCTTTCTGCTGTCTGTAAACATCTGCAGTGACTTAGAGGTGGCCAGCCCTGTCAGATGAGCTGGCCAAACTCTGTGGCTGCTGATCGGAAAGTTGCCCTAATGGGAAATGGTCACTGTATCTAAGGAATAGGCTAGAAGTTCCTAGCTTCCTCTTTCAGGGTCTTTCATTTCCCCCAGAGTTCAGTACACCTGATAAATACCAACTTATACAGTTCATTTTTCAACAGAGGTCATGTTCTGTTTTTAGAAAAAAAAAGGGGGGGGGGATGGGGCTCTCAAAGAGTCATTTGCTAAACTGAGAATAAAACTGAAGTCTTCTTATTTTTAATATTAACCAGGTTTTATTCCGAACTTTTAGTGTTGCCATCAAAAAAGTAGTCTCTCGGGCCGGCCGAGTGGCGCGATGGTTAAGAACTGGCTTGGGATGCCAGAGGGCCCCGGTTCGGATCCCACATATGAGGGCCAGTGACACTGTCCTCTACAGCTAAGATGCTGAACAACAGCTTGACCTGGAGCTGGGCTGCCGTGGGTCGCCGGCGACGGCATAGGCTGCAGCCCCTGTGGCAGTGGGTTGCCATGGGCTACCGTATGTAGCCAGCAGCCAGCGTGAGCGGCCAGCAGCCGCAGTAAGCGGCCGTCCAGAAGCCGGCGACTGATGTGCCTTGCCAGGGAAGAGCGCAATGATGGTGCCAACTAGGGCCAGTGAAGCAACGTCCTCCACAACTAGACTGAAGAACAAAACAACAGCAACTGTGTGTTCCCCTTCCCCGAATTCCCCCAGCACTGTTCCCATCCCCCCAATTCCCCAATAAAAATCTTTAAAAAAAAAAAGTAGTCTCTCAACGCAGTGCTGGTGTTTGATTTAGGGTTTTGGGGTTTTATTTTCTGTTTGTTTTTTTTTTTTGAGACAAGGTGCCTCTCTTCTACAACCTTACACTGCTTACAAAACACAGAAGTTCGAATGATCCACCGCAGAAAACTCAGATTTCTAGCAATACATCAAATAGGGAATTTGCAACAACAAATGTAACCAAGACACCATAAAACGGAGAAAGCAAAAATTAAATTTGAGAGGATTAGCAAAATCCACACTATATTTGTTTTCCTATAAAAACAAACAAACAAGGAAATGCTTTTTCAGAAGATTTCCTTCAGATCAAATGAGATGTGATTGGCAGGAGAAACTTGGGGGCAAATCTGCTCAGTGGGGAGGAATTCTTCCTGAAACCAGTGGTTTTGATGTGCCCCGGGACTAAGACAACAGAGCACAGAAGCCAGAAAGTTACACGCATGGACCGTGGACCTAAGGCCTAGCCTGAAACGCAGAAACAGTAATATTAAGCTAGTGTCAAGCCAACGCCTCCATGTTTTATGAGCATATCATGAGGGTAAAGTTCTCCAGGGAGAGCTGTTTCATAAGTAAAACGAGTATTACAGGTCCTCATTATCCACAGTTGCCAAATCCACAAAGCTCGAAGAAACACAACTTTTGTAACCCACTTGGTGGCAAACCAAACCTTTCCGCATGTAGCAGCGTTTGACCATTCTCTCTCCCACATGTGCTCACATCTGTGCTCAGGCACAGGGAGGAGTAAAACACTGGCTTGCAGGGGGTGTGAAGCCCCTGCCATGGGCACAAAGAATACCCTGATTTTCCATCTAAAACCTACAGGTTTCTGAATTTGGAAACACTGGGACCCTACAGTTTCAGAGCTGCACTGTGGATCGGTATGACTTTATCCCGGTGGTACATGAATCTAGAAAACTCTGAGACAAATTTATGATGGAAGCTGTAGGTTTTTCCTTCTTGGATGATCTTCATAAGCTCCAAAGAAAGCAATTTCTCTTCTTTCCTGCCTCTCTCTTCTTCTTTTGTGAACCAAGAAAAAGTTCAGGCTGCAGCAAAGAAAATGGGAATTTGCCTCTTGCCTCCTTATCACGTATTTTCTTTCAGGTGTGTAGGGAGGGCTCGCAAAGCTGGAGTCTGGGCTTGTTGTCTGGGAAGGTTCTCCTGCATTGTGACCTTTGGCAGGAAAAGGGAGGCCCGCGGAACCCTCTGTGACTTTTCCAGCAAGGGATATTGGGTATATGTCATGCATAAATAGGCCACACTAATTTACCAACTGTAGAGCAGCAAACTTACGAACATGTTTATGAATCCCATGCCTTCATTTCTGATGCCAATTGCTAACCTATCTAAGAAGACATTTCCTCCTTGATCAGTGAATTTGGTTTCTTAGGGTGACACAAACATTTTGTAAATTTCTAACATCGTTTCAAACTTGGAAAATTCAAAGCAAGTTAAAAGATTTTTTTTATAAGTCTACAATTTAAGGCAATAATTTGACTCAAAAGCACAAGAAACAACTGATGAATTTTCTACAACTTCACCCTTTAGATTGGGAATCCTAGCTCTGAAAAAAATGACAGTGTCACAGCCATGAACCTTTTTTTTTTTTTTATAGCTGAGCCATCCTGCTACCTGTGTGCAGCTCAGTGGCAGCTCAGCTA